GCTTGTATGTCTCGGGGGTGATTAGAAAGGAACTGGTAGAATACTAGCAGGGAAAGAACATACACACATGCTTTTAGTTGAAAAGGCATACAGTATATTATCGCTATATAATTACTATGATCTCCATAAGCAAATTCTAGGTCCAGCGTTTAGTTTATTTAAGAATGAGAGGATAAAATTAGAAGCCTTATTCAGCGAATAAATCTTAACAGATATAGATCTGCAAAAGAAGTAGCTTTTAAAATGCCTATCATAACAAAAGACATTGAAAAATTGCTTTAAAATTATAATGAAAGAGTTCAGGGGATCAAAAGATTACTTAGCAAAATGAACTTAACTGGTATGTACCTCAGCTACTCCCAATGATGAAAGTTCTAGACTTCATGAGGATTGTCTCTGCCTTACTGCTGGAGACATCTATTATATTTATATCTGACAACTTACCCACACTTTCAGCTGCAGTTATAGGCATTTAATCCTTCTTAGAGCCTTTTGAATGGTGCCACACATCAATCCCAGCATTACCATAGGATCTATTAGAGATTACAGGAGCTCCAACACCATTCATTGTAGGCATTCTAAGATCTCAAGAGTAATCAATAGAATGGTCTGAAATTACTAACTAATGTTTGCTTGTTGATTTCAAAGATGACATGAATTAGGTTGAGATTACTGAAAGTGGAGGCAGTTTCAATTAACCTTACTTCCATTCTCTTGTTGACTATTTGGCACCATGTTTTGATTAAATCAATACTGGCAGGAACTCTGAGCCAGTTGAGATAGAGACCATAAGTAAGCATATAAACAGAATAGCAATGCTTTTGAAATATTCTCTGAAGGTTTTCATAATCAATTTATTGCCCATTGATATTTTGACTTAGAAAGTGAAGCTTGCATCTGTTGAAGATGTTAAATAGCTAATCTTATCAAGATGTGATGAATATGACAGAGTTTTCTTATAGCAATTAGTTGAGACCCAAATGTTCACTTATTTTGTTGATGGAAAGTACACTCTTAAATAAGAGGATTGAATCTTAGAATATAGACATATTTAGAGATTTTGCATAGATATTTGATATTTATTCATTACTTTCAATATATTTTAAAAACTTTAAGAACGAGGGGTTTTGGGGTTTTGGGG